CGGGTGGGGGGGGGGGCTTTCCTGCCACCGAAGGTGGAACTTCCTGCAGACCACCCAGGCTTTTGCCTCTTCTCTCCTCCTCCGTCTTCTGTGTCCCAACCCCAGTTGATGCTAAGCCTGTCACAATAATCAATAAATCAGTTAATCTCATGATGAACTAAAAAACATTTGCATGGCTCAGCGTTTTTCTCTTTTCTCTCTCTCTTTCTACCAAACACTGGATGACTGAAGTCTTCAGTCTGGTACTTTGGTCTCAATTTGTCCCTTTTTTCTTCTTCTTTTAATCAGTTTAGTTTGCAGAGACCTGAGCGTCCATCTTGTTTGTTCCTTTTAGTTGTTTTCTTTATTTATTTTGAATATTCAAAATGTCTTCCAGTTCCAGTGTTAAATGTTTGTTAGCAGGTGAACTTGCATTATTATGGCATTATGACTATATTACTTGAAAATGGTCTCAAGACAACAATATTCTCGTTTATCGCAATAACTACTGGGACAATTTGTTATTGTGGCAGGCCTAGTTAAAGCATGACCCCCTCCCCCAGCCCTCCTTCATCTGCACTCACCCCAAACTCTCACCTGAAACAGAATGCATCCTTCTTAGCACCTATCAGCCTCTTCATCCTTTCCCTGCCAATCCGCCGCCACTGCATTTCTCTCCATCCTTCCTCTCTTGCTCACCTGTAATTTACCAGTTTGAGCCCGTCTGTGAGCTTTTCTGTGTGTGTGTGTGTGTGTGTGTGTGTGTGTGTGTGTGTGTGTGTGTGTGCGCGTGTGCGTGTGTGCTTGTTTGTGACGCCATCTCCATATGTGTGTGTGTGTGTGTGTGTGTGTGTGAGAAAGATCCTGGGTGAAATGAGTCAGAGATTCAGGTGAAGTGGTACCTGTGAGGTGCTCTGAGCCCCTCTCTGCTCTGCTTTGTGTCTGCATGTGTGTGTGTGCGGGTGTGTGTGTGTGAGTAGTGGAGAGGTGGGGCACAGAGGAGGTGGGCGTCTGGCTGGAACAGCTGAGTCTCGGGGAGTACAGAGACACCTTCATACGGCACGACATCCGAGGCTCAGAGCTGCTGCACCTGGAGAGGAGAGACCTGAAGGTAATCACACACACACACGCACACACACACTGGTGTTTACAGCTTGTAGTGAGTCCGACAATCAGCTCTTCCTGTCTCCTGCCGATGTGCTGCTTCTCTATGGCTCTGTGGCCTGTCCCATGTCTCCCTGCTGCATCGCTCTGCTTGGCTTCCACTGTCTGGTGTTGCTCGGTGATAAGACCTGCTAACCCACTAACACTGTGTTTACTGACCAAGAGGGAAGCAGAAGACGCTGGGGGGGGGATTCAAGCCTAGCTTGAGCGACTTGTTGAAGACCACAGTCTGATGACCTGTGATGTTTAACGGGGCAGCATTGTGTAAAATCATCTTTTTTGAGCTTCACGTCGTGTAATAGTGTTTTTCGCTCATCAACAACATACCTGAAGTGTTGCCTTGACTCTTTCATGGATGTCTGAGAAATCCTTCATGGCAACAATTCAGCTGTGCAAAAACGCCTGGTTGGACTGAGCAGCTCCTCCTAAAACACAAAGACGTATCGTCACATCAAATTTAGCATGAACCGATAATGTAAAGGGTGATTCTGTTAAATATCTGACAGCCAGATGACTGTTTTTTACTTTTGACCCATTCATATTTTTGTTAATTTACAGGTTCATTGTGTTTTAGGTCTCTGACTCTAATTGCTTCACTGTACTGAATGAAAAATGTCTTATAGGATTTTTGTTTTGCTCTACTTCTGTTCAAATTTTTTAGTGTACAAACTAAATTATAATCCATACTCTAAAATGTTTTTGTACTATTAGTTTGTGTAGAAAGCACTGAGTTTCTCTCTTCTAAAGGGGCCTTTAGTCTGGTGTGTGATTAGTCCTGTTTGAAAAACCCTAAAAATACAAAAAAGAAAAAAAAAATGCTTTCAGGTTTGGATAAAAAATGGGGAGAAAGAGATTATTTCATATCCAACTTTTAAAAGATGAAAATACATGAATAAAACCCGGCATCAGTCTAAGATGTGATCACACTTTCTGCTTCTGGTTTTCAAAAAACCAGTAAAGAACCAAATCCAGCACCAGGACTGAAACCCAATCAGTCGTCCTCGTGTCACGGTTTACTTTTCCTTTTTAGGGAAGTTGGTTTTGTGTCTGAGAAATAATAAACTAATGTTCATTGTTTCTCATGTTTATTGTTTTAAAGTGATGCTGACACACATTATGAGTGTTTATGTAGTAAAGAAAAGGTCTAGTTAAAAATGTACAGAATTTGTTTCTTTAAATGTCCTGTATTCGACAATTTTGAGTCTAGAAACTTTGGAATGTTCTATCCTAAAATGACTTGGGATCAAGAAAAGCACTCGCTACTAGGATGTACTTTCTAGTTCATGAAATGTGTCAATAGCTGCGTTTCCATTATGAATGTACACAAAACTTTGTTGATGTTCCACTAATGTAAAAAAAAAAAAAAAAAAACACAATTTCAAAATTGCGGCGTTTTCATTAAATAAGAAACATGATCAAAACCACACGCAAATCATTTTGTTCATGCAGTAAGTCATTAAGGAACAGGCCTACCACTTCCTGTCGTCTTTGTCTTTTCCACCGGTGGCAACATCTGGCTGTTGGTCATGTGACTCGTGTGATGAGAAAGTGTTTCTACTGCACTTCTGTGAAAAACCTCCCCCTCCAATTGCAAAAACTTTCTTTTTTTTTTTTTAAATTGGCATGTTTCCATTAAGCTAATTGGTAACACTTTATTTGAAGGGGGGTGAATAAGACTGTCATGACACTGTCATAAACATGTCATAACACCTGTCATGAACATGAATAAGCCTTCATGAATATTTATGACTGTTGTCATAAAGCATCATTTGGTAAATTATGACACTTTTAATACAAAGTTGACATTATTCAAAATGTCTTTGTTATGACAACTTGACATTAACCAAGAGATCATTACTGTTATAAATTTGTTATAAAAGTATTACTGATTGCACTTTAAAAATTAGGTAACTTTATGTTATTAAAGGTAAAGTTTAAACAGTAATGATTTCCTGGTTAATGTCAAGTTGTCATAACAAAGACATTTTCAATAATGTCAACTTAGTATTAAAAGTGTCATAATTTACCAAATTGACGCTTTATGACAACAGTCATAAATATTCATGAAGGCTTATTCATGTTCATGACATGTTATGACATGTTAATGAAAGTGTCATGACAGTCTTATTCACCCCCCTTCAAATAAAGTGTTACCAGCTAATTTGTGGAATTCCTATTTTTCAATGTTATGGTCCATGGAAACACAGTCATTGTTGCAGAGCAGGTCTTCCTTTGTTCTGTAGCGGTAGCGTTTTGCAACTTTACACTCACAATAGGAAATAGGAGCCATAGAAATCCCCAACAGCTCCTCATACTAGCTTGTCTTTGGTCACAATGCTTGACTTCTTCTGTTTTGTCTCCTTGTTGGATCTCAGGATCTGGGGATATCGAAAGTGGGTCATATGAAGAGAATCCTCCAGGGAACTAAGGAGCTGGCCAAGGTCTCCATGGTTGACCTTTAACCTGGGAGCAATAACTGCCAGAGAGGGGGAAGCCACATATTCCCCCCTAACGTGGGAGTTTGGGAGCACCGTAGGCAGAGAGAGAGAGAGAGAGAGAGAGGAGACGGGTATTCAAGTGGAGCCGGCTTTAACCGCACACCGTGAGCGCCTTCGTGACGGTGCTGATGGGACCAGGACGTGCGAGTGTGCCCCTGTGTGCGCGTGTGTGTGCGTGTTCTTGCTGCGGTGCCAACATGACAGTCCAGAAAGCTGAGGAAAGTTCAAAGTGGAAGTCAAGAATCTTCATAGCAAAAAAAAAAAAGCCATTTCAAAGTTAATAACCACTCATAGCACACTATCAGGTATGCAAGAATCCATATTAATAACTAGTTGTCTGATGAACTAGTAGCATAACTAAGACTTCCATGAGTTCGGAGTTCACTTTGAGTTGGAGTTGAGCGTTGAGATGAATCTTGAGCATTGAAGCAACCGTCGGGATTTCTGCCGAAGCAGAAAAACAAACATCTCCATCTGCCGTCGGGGCGCGGTCGCATGCTACACTTGCTAAACTTTTAAGTATCTTTAACTGCATGATTAGTGTCTTGATTTTTTTGGTGTGCAAGATAACACTTGAAGAAGTTTTACATGTCTTATTAAGTATTACGATGCCATTGTTACTACTGAAACCAAGATGGTGTGCTTTTTTTTTTTTCCCCTCTCGCTTGATTTAATTTATTTTTGCTAGCATGACTATAACGTGTCAAAGGTTTCTGTTAAGTGCCATACTTTGGGTCATTTGTTGTAAAACGTGCTTTACGGCGGTCATCATAGGAAGATGAACGACGAGGTAGGAATCGGTGGAGTTGTTGTCCGTGGATGTGAAAACAGAACCAAAGTGAATGTTGGAGGAAAACCTGATGGTTTTGTTTCGAGGACCACAAGGGGTCTCACTTCCACTCAGACTGGGACTAACAGTTTCCAAGGAGACACTGCTGGTCAGGGACCAGACAAATATATTATAGTGTTGCTCAGTTTTTTTTTTGTTTTTTTTTTTTGTTTGTGTGTTTTGTTGTTAGGAATACCTAAAAGGCACTTTTCACATCTTGCTTTATGCAAGTGCAAATCTTCATATCATTACATTGATTAAAAACAACAACAAAAAAATCACCTCAACTTTGTATCTTTTGGCAGTTTTAACTAATGCAAGATAGCAATTAGGTAACCAGTTTTGAATATGTAACGAAGCAGTTGATCTTCTATTTCCACGTTGATAGAAACTTTTTCCTTTTAGTTTCTTTAAGGTCGATGGCATTACAGGGTATATTTCTAGAAGTGATGCTAGGTTTGTACATACTTATGCACTGTACATATGGTAAACAAGTGGATGCAAACGATGTTTGTAAGTGTTGTAGCGTTATGCATTTTGTAGTTTTGCTGACTTGGCATGCATTCGTGAAGAGCTCCCCCTTTTGGACAGAGTGTAAAACACCTTAAACAGTCGTGCATTGCTGATTTTGTTCTGCTCTCTTGTACATGTTAACTTTGTTGTATTCTAATGATGGTGCAATATCTGATCTCTTGTTTTGTTTTTCTCTCTTAAACTTTGCAAAATGATCTCTATCTGTGTGGGGGGGGACATCTAAAACTTGTGTTTTTATTTCTGTTTATGGTTTTTGGTTTCTATATTTTGTTAGTCTGGGAGAATTTTTAAAGTTTGACCCCACAGCTGTTTCTTACATGCTCCAGACTTCTTCCAGTGGTTGATTTGTTTGTAGATTCGCTCCTCTGTGCTTCCAAGATGATACTCTAATAAGACTGTCTGTGAATGGATTGACTAGGCAGACGTGACTGTTGTGTTATCACGTATTATAATGTTTGTTTGTGCATTTGTCTGCACAGACATTTAGTAGCCTGACATGCAAGCAGTTGTATAAGTTCAGCTGCAAAACAATCCATATTTTTGCCTCCTTTTTTTGGGGGGTGGGGGGTGGCTTTTCCTTATAAAACGAATCAATATTTTGCAGGTTATCACACCCTGTTAGATTTGCACATTCAAATGTATTCGTCCCTTCATTTCAGGCCTATAAGATATTATGAAAGAACAGAGGAAGACAGACAATAAAGCTTGTTTCATTTCCTCCAATGCAACCTGACATTTGATAACTGAGGCTAGGGAATAATCGTTGCTAATTTTAGCTTTGCAGTAGCTGCGTTTCCATTACAAATGTGCGCAAAACTTTGTTGGTATTTCGCTGAAGTCAAGTCGTAGTTGCGGTGTTTCTTCTAAATAAGACACACAACTAAAATCCCACCTGAATAAGACCGTTCACGTCATTAAAGAACCATTCTGCGCCATCACCCTCCTGCCACCTCCTGTCATCTTCTTTGTCATTTCCACCAGTAGTAACGTCTGGTTGTTGATCACATGACTCGTGTGATGCGAAAAAAGCGTTTCCATTGCGGTTTCATGAAATACACTAATTTCACTGCGGTGGCGTAACCACCTCATCCTAGCTCAAAAACTTTTCTTTTCGAAAAACTTGAGTTTTTTCAAAATTGTAGTGTTTCCATTAATTGAATTAATTTTTTCTATCCCAGTTTGCGTAACTATATGATCAATGGAAACATAGCTAGTGTAGCCCTTTTAGCTGATATTACGCTTACAGTGTCTTACAGTGCAATTCATACCACTTGGTGCCACAGCCTTCAATGTACTTCAGTTGTTTCTGATAAGTGTGGCATGCATTACTATTTTGCCTTCGTGAGTCAATATTCATGGAGGACCACTTTCGGTGACCTAAAGATTCAAAATCTTGCAAATTCTTCTTATCAAAACAACTCAAATTCTGTCAAATTGGATGGATGGAGAAATTTTTTAAGCCTCCAATTTTTAAATCTTGGATTTAGATGTGGACTTTTGCTAGGCCGTTTTAACACATGGATTTATTGTCACCTTGGATGTGTCTTCTGACAAAGTCTCACCTCTCAAGTCTTTTGCAGTTATTTCCCGTCTCGATCCATCTTTTCATCAACTATGGCTAGTTTCTCTTTCCCTGCTGATGAAAACATCGCCAATCCATAATGCTGCCACCACCATGTTTCACTATGGGGTTGGTGTTTTCAGGGTTGCGTATATCGTTAGTTTTCAACACATATATGCCAAACAGCTATGAGCAGAGTTTGTTAAAGTTTTTACTCTTAGCTTACTTTTGTGGGAAATTGGTTGCATGTTATTGTATTTTAGAGGCATCAGACTTAAAAGGGGTGAGTAAAAATGCATGCAAACACTTTCTAAATTTTTATTCATATAAACAAAATCTGCTATAAAACATAATCATTTTAATTTTCTTTGCACTCTGCAGTTATGTGCTACTGAGCGTTAGTTCGCCACATAAAATCTTATTAAAAGGCATTGAAGTTTGTGGCAGAAATGTAATTAATCATGTAAAAACCTAAACAGTATGAATTGTTTTGTAAAGTACTTTCTGCATTTAATGTAGGTAGGTGCAAAAAAAAAAAAAACAAACAAAAAAAAAACCGTTCAACTTTTCTGTTTTGAGGGACCGCACGCCCCCAAAAAGTGATTGAATGCATCATCGTGTGTTTTCTGTAACATCCCACAAGGGGGCGATCCAATACACGTCAACTCTCAAAAGCAGGCAGCTGAAGCTCTCGACAGTTTCTTACAGCGACAATCAGTTCGGTTGACCGTGGAGCTCCTCACTGATTTGAACACAAAATCGAACCAGATTTAATCTTTAAAGACATAAATATGTGTATTATTTTCTTATCATGCTGCCAAAGATATTAGTTTTATGAGAACTGACATCCCATTGCAGTGCTAGTCCTTGATAAGGGATCACTTATAGCCTCTCTACGCCGGACGCCAGGCGAGTTCTGAAACACTCCGTCGCTGTTTTGGACCAGAGAGTTCTCCTCTTTAATATTTAACAGTGGAAGTCAGTAGCCACTGTCCTCCCATGCTGGGTTTCCTACTGGTTTGTAAATAATGCTGCAAACTGCCTTTTTTTTTTTTTTTTACCAAAACCAACTGAACCCACGCGGATCTGTAAAAATCAAATGAACACGTCGTCTTTTTTTTATTTTTTATTTTTTTGCTGTGTGAGTGTGTGTTTTTAAGTGACGGGAGAAAAGAAAAGTGAGTTTCATTTGTTTACATAACGTTTACAATCGCACAGGTTTCCTTTGTAAGACTATATATGTAGCTACAGACAATATTTGCATACTTATTGCCTAAGGTTTAATGATATAACGTGTATTGTGTTTTCACAGTTGGAATATAATGTTACAGTTCTCACCTGTATTACTTATCTGGATGATTTTGGTAAAGTAGTTGATCATTTTTATGACTACTATAAGTGACTGTTTTCTGTGCCTTTTTATGGTTAGAATGCATGGTTACCTATTTATTACAACTTGGAGTCACTGAGATGTGTATTTTTGTATTCGGAATAAATAAATGATTCAGCCCTTGTTGTACATTTTAAGGTGCCTTGAATCAGGCCACCTGTTCATATCTCTCTTCTTCAATAAAACCAAATACATATGCAGTGTGTTTCTGTCTCCTTCTGGTGTGACACGTGACCAGGAAAATAATTGAAGTTTTTTTTTATTATTATTGTTATTATACAAGTAGAACTAGCAGGTTATGCTATAGATGTTGCAGATATCAGCAGTTTTAAAGATACAGTCCATTGGGCTGTACTCTTTTTTAAAAAAAAAGTAATCTGACAATTAAAACAGGTAGATGACACTGTATGGGTTAACACTGCTTCACAAAGTTTTTAAAAAGTATGATTAAGGGGAAAAAAAAACATCTTGTTCTGCTTTGTCTGTATTTGAGTTGATGACATCACAAGAGGTACAAAACTGGAACTGATCATTATTGGACTCTGTTGTCTTGACAACTCAATGATCAATTTTGACGCCTTTCAGATGAGGACCAGTCATTTTTAGTGAAATGGTCTTAGCCCCGCCCACTAAGATTATTAGTAAAGCTGAGAAATAAAATGTTTAGATTATTAGTATTATGTAAAAGAAGATCATCATGTTATAATGCATCATGTTATAATTTTACTCCCTTGACTTACCTGAAGTGTTGATTTGATTCCTTATTTCATGTTTGAGAAATCATTTAATCTCAAAAGAACTCTGATCAGTTGCCTGTTACTTTACGCTGTGCAATCAGAATCATTAGATTAAATCTTTCTTTAGGGCCCAGTGTTAGAACATGTCTTTTTTTTTTTCCTTCTAATTTCCAAGAAGCTTAAACCCACCAAAGAATTCTTGAAGTTTTAAATATTTTCAGTGTCGATGTGCCGGCAGTAAGCAAAAGTTTCCATAAAATGTGGTTTTGGGAGGGGTGTGGGGACAGGGTATATTTCCAAGGTAAATTAAAAACAGACTTCATCACTGTGACAATACAACTGGAAACAAGTTTGTGAGTTTGTGAAGGTAGGCACAGGCTCTCTGAATTAAAAATAAAATAAAATACATGTCAGGACAAAGCAAAAAAAAAAAAAAATCCTCTGGTGCCAGTATGTCAAATACATAAAATATTCAGCTAAATACTTGTAGTTTATTTCTCTGTCTTGTGGGTCTCTTGGCTGCTTCTTTCTCTCACCTTCACCATGTATTGGTAGGTTTGCAGTTGCACCAAACTTTCATTCTCAAATAATTAATCAGTTCTGGGACATGATATTGATCTATAACCGTAATTTAAACTCCTGTGCTATACTTGATCCTGCTGTTTTGTTCTCTAACTATTCTGAGATTATTAAAGAACAGCTAGATGTATAATGACATTCAATCACATATCCAGGCTATCCTTTTTCAGAATTTTATTTCTGAAAAACGAAGAAAAAATTTCAAACTCTCCTTTCCTTCTTTATTCCATTTATGCTCTATCCACTTAATGTCCCAATAAAATACATTGGCATTTCTGGTTAACACTAAGTGTGAAGATGCAAACGCTTCAACCACCCTTAATATATTCGCTATTCTACTTCCTAGCAGCTAGATTTTGTAATATTTTTTGAGTTTATCTCAAAGTTTTAGGTTTCTTTCACGCAGCTCCTTCGTGTTTGTTAAGTCTATGTAGCAAGTTCATGAAGAGGAAAACAAAAAGAAACGAAAGTGAGATAATCCCAATTATTCCTTTTTATATTCTAAGTGATTAAATGCATTGCCTCGCTTATTAACCCTTCACGTAGATGTATTATTCACAAAATATCACGAAAAAAGTTAACAGTGTTGAAGTTGAGTGATATACACTCATTCAAGTTGCCATGTTTCAGAACGCGAGTAATTCTACTTTTTTATACTGCTCAAATTTCTCGATTTTTGATTATTTTTGTCCTACACAGTGCGATATCTTTTTTTGAATCTGGGTTCTACTTGTGATGCCTGACTTTTGTTTTCATGGGAAGACTATGGAAAGACTGCAATAGGCCGTGAATGTGAAGCTCGGTTCGATTCTGGGAGCCATTTCGTTCGGTCCTGAATGAGTGAACGGTATAAGTTTGCCTTCAGAAAAAACAAATTAATGCCAATTTTACATAATAAAATATTGCAAACGTTTTTACAATATTTCAGCCGTAGAGTCCGGCTCTGGTTTGACATGGTGGGTCACGTTGTCACGTTGAGATTGAAAAAAATCCAAAACAGTCGGATCGTTCCCGGACCGCCCATCAAAGTCAGCGGCTCCCGTCAGCGCTGCTGGAGTCCGACGCTGAGAGGTGAGGCGGGGGGGCTTTATAACACAACACGGACTTGTTAAACATTAACAGATAATAGCTGCGTATTGTTGAAAGAGAATTAACTGAATGCATGTCAATGTCACCGTCGTTTCTGTGACTAGCTAGTCAGGGTTGTTAGGGTGACAAACCGGAGCCGACCGCGGCCTGCCTGCTTCTGCTGCTAGCTTCATGATTGACAGCTTGTCACCTCCCAAGGAGCCTCTCTCTGAAGTGGACTGTTGTCATTTTATATGTACTTAAGGTCTGTTTGAATCTGTATACATATATATATGTGTGTGTGTGTGTACGTATAATGTGCTGCCGCTAGCACGCTGGCTAAGCTTTTACGTGCTGTGGCCGTGAGAATCACCATCAGCATCCTCAGTGAGGCTCCTCTGTGGCCTTGCTGGCTGCCGCTTCCTGACCCGGGAGCAGGAACAGATATGCGGCTGGTCCTCCTGCGAACAGCCGGCCTGCTCTGGTGGTAGCTTCCCGTGTAGCCACGGGATGATTGTATCAATTTTGTGTCCTGGTCATAATGCGGTGCGGTTATAGCAGGGCTGTCGCAGTGTGTATTTTCTTTACTACACCATAGTTGTTACTGACGGGACAACCTCCTCTTTTCCACACCCTCACCGTCTGCTTCTGTGGCATCATCTCTGAGTGTTTCTAACAGACTGCAGCTAATAGTGGCTTGTTAAAGTATTGTCATTTTGAACATTATATATTTATTTAATAACAATCGCAACCTTCATTGGTAGATGGAAGAAAAACCCTTCCACATATGTATTTCTCAATTTTGTCAATTAAAAACATTTTTTCCAGTCAGACGGACATGTTGTGATAGGTTTGCAGTCGTGTCCTACTCTTTCTGTTTTCACATGATGGATTGAACAGCAGTTTGTAGGAAGAGGACAAAGGCATTATGCTGTTTTCTCATTATAATCTGGAATCTTGTTTTCTTTATGCCTCATGTTTAGTTTGGTGAGGTATCGGTCAAAATGGCTAAAGGTTGCAGAGAGGGGATAAACAGACCTTACTGAAGAAGGAATTGTATCTCCAGGGAGTAAATTACAAAAGGCATTTGTGGATTCAATCTGAGACACTTAATCCTTATTAAATTCCAGCAGACTGCCAGCTGTTTTTGCACGGAGTCGACTGGGTTTCGCCCGAATTCAGAAAAGACAAGTCCCTTGAGCCTCTAAATGTTTTCTGTAGCTCCGTGTAACATCTGCTTGTTAAGTAGAGCAGCTAATCGAGTAGAAATGGACAGAGAGGAATTTAGTGTCTTCATCCTAAAGTTCTCAGAATCATTTAAGAAATAACATGACGCTTCTGTTATCCTCAGTAAATCAAATCAGTTTCCTGTAATTTCATTGTTTAGCAACACAACACAACAAAACAAACAGGTTTCTCTGGAGTCAGCGCTCTTCTCAAAATTAAAGCTCACAGGTCTTTGAGAGAGCGAGCTTGCTTTAATATGTCATCATTATCAATATATGACTTGAAAATGATCTCAAAACAACAATATTATCGTTTATTGCAATAATTACTGGGACAGTTTATTGTCCAGCAATAAACTGGGACTAGTCCTGTCGTTTTCTGACAGGACTAGTGTCATTTTAGCAACTCCAAACAACTGATGGTAGATTTGTTCTTATTTTCAGACATCCAGTAGCTCCTGGGTGCCACCCTGTCAGCGGTCACCATGCTTTATTTAAGCCACGCTGAGAGCAGACGTGACGTCACACTTCAAAAGTGTGAAACCACTTTAAAACAGAGATCCTTTATTACTTCAAAATTAAACATTTTCCTTTGGCCTGCTGCTGTTGAAAGTAAGGCATAACTTTGTTCAAACTTTGTGTAATGGGATACAAAACAACTAAAACAAACAGCAAAAGTAGAAAATGGTGAAGGTTTGAAGTCTGGCTTTTTGTTGTTTTTGTTGAATGAAATGCGAAATGTGGTTTTCTCTTTCTTGATCTGGCCTTGATTCCTCCTCTGAGTTCACTTTTAAGCATCTCGCTGATACCAAAACTAGCAAACTTTGAGTCTTCCTCCGTTAGGAACCGCTTCTACACAGAAGAGTGTTGTGGTCTGCACGGCCGACTAGTGCTAATGAATGGTCTTTGGTCAGAACACGGACAGACTGTCAAGTTCCCAACTGATCAATCACTGACCACCACAGTTGGGAGTATTTGTGATTCATGATTACAATAATGATGTCACTAATATAGGGGGGGGAAAAAGCCCTTCAACATCTCAGTTTGGAGATCATTGGACCATGATCCTGTATTGTCTGTTCATCCATTCTATTGCAGACTAGCTGCTGTGTTTGGGATCGTTGTTCTGGTGACGACCCAGTTTGTCTGACAGACGGCCTCAGAGTTACGCTTCCTGGCCAAACAAAAAGTTACCTCCTGATTTTAACTGAGCAAATAGATCTGAGCTTCCTGTTGGACAGTTAGTGCCTGGACAGCTGTTTTCCAGCTGGCAGCAAGTTATTTAACCCGAGCTGATGTAATGAGGAGCTTCTCATTTCTCAAACAACCGTGCTGAAAGGCGCATCCTGTGGTCGTGGAAAAGACGTTGGTCTGTTTAAGAAGGGTCAGATCGTTGGCATCAAGCTGAGAAAACATCTGGAGATGCAGAAACAAACACTGGGTTGAGAACCATCCAATGAATTATTAAACACTGGAGGGAAAGTGGAAAACCATCGTGTTTGAACAAGAAATGTGGTCAGAAAAGAACCCTGAATGACCATGATCGGTGATCTCTGAATTATTTGGTGACGTAAAATTAAAGAAAAACAT